TCTCTCTCTCTCTCCTCCTCCTCCTCCTTCGTATACGCTCGCGTGTGCGTGTGCTTCTGAGTGCTTTTGCGTGCTTGTGCGCATATAGGTGTGTCTTAATATCTGAGATCCCCGGGCCAAATGATTTTTTACGCAACTCTATTATTATCTAAAGGCAAAGGAAATATCGAATCGACATTAAATATGCAAAATATCACAAAAGTGATGCAAATAGCGAGGATAGAGAACCTCGTCAAACTAAAGAGTTGAAATTCGTCTGTAGCACGTACGTATCTCAACGATCGACGTAGCAAGTTAACTTCCATGCTTGATTGCCAGGATTAAAAATACCATCTCTCAGATTCCGCTACATAAAACACATATTTCCTTATTTTTCCTTGTCTTTACAATTTAGAATTTTTATTAAGAATTTTTATCGCTAAAATGTAATTTTGTATATGGAAATGAAACCGTTAACTTTATTATAATACGACCTGTTTACCTTAAGGATTTATCAACATTATTTATTATGTTAAAGTCTTTAATCGTAATACTTTACCTCGGATATTGCAATTATTATGGTATCTACATTTAATCGCATGAACGATATAAAAAAAAGATAAATAAATAAATAAATAAATAAATAAATATATAAATTTTCCCTAAAATACAAATTTATTATACATTATACAGATTAAGGGAATATCAAAAATAATTTTCATTAATTATATTTATGAAAATATTGAAAATATTTTAGTATACCGTTTTATATGGAATAAAATTATTATGTTTCTGGTGACTAATATTTATCAATCCTAGGCCGAATATCATTATTTATAATAAATACCGTATTAATAATTTTGTATAATTTCTTTGTTGAAAAAACTGAAAATAAAATTTGACATTATTATGGAGTATGAGTACGAATAACGAATGGTACACATTAATATTAGAATTTAAGTCTGCATTTGTTAATAAATTTTGTTATAATAATAATTTTATTCCATTTAATTAAGACTAAACATTAATATGTACGAGAAAATTGTATGCGCTTGGCAAAATAAAGAATTTACAAAATGAACTTTAGAAGTGAAAATTAAGAGATCTAGCTTATGAAAGTAAATGTTCGGAAAAAACTAGGTAAATTTACGTGTCTGCTTGGTTTAAAAAATTTTTGTAAATCTAAACTTTGTGAAATCTACATCATCTTGCAAACGATCTTTCAGCTTTTCTTGTAATATTTGCACAATACTCCAAATATTAACCCCGGGGTTATTTTAAAAAATTTAACTCTAGGAGGTGAATAAAATAAATTTTTTTTACGTTGCACCCTTCAAGTTATTTATTCATCAAAATGCTGTATTTTTCTCAAGCATAATTGCAAGTTTAGTACGTTAAAGTTATGTTTTTACGTATTGTATACGTTGAACTTATAATACTTTACATGGTCATTTGTATTTTATGTTTGTACATTATATCGTGAAAAGTAAGCTACCTTTATATATAAAAGTTTCAGAAAATTGCAACTACTTGGTTATACCTTTAGAAAAATTTATAGAGATAATTTTTGTTTTCTGGTATACGGCACCTTCATAAATCTTCAAACGTAAGTGTGTATCTCTCTCTCTCTCTCTCTCTCTCTCTCTTTCTCCCTCTCTTTCTCTCTCGATGCAATATTAAAATTACTCGTTAGTGTATTGAAATGGCCGAAGAATACAATGGGATAAGTTTTTTGTATGTAATTTTGAAAGACAATATAAAAAAGAAATGGAAGAAGAACTTTTTATGATTACAGAAATAATGCGACGATTTGATTATCACCGGCTAAACGAGCAATCATCGCATGGAATCATTTCAGCCACAACTTTGTGATATTGTTGTTGGAAGAATCGCGAATTTACTGCTTGAAATAGAGCAATTTCACGAATTTTGTAGCCTCGGCAGTAGCACTTAAGTCACCACTCTTCCACTAATTCTCTTTATTTTCCACTTCCTCGACTAGGCATTTTATTAGTCACGTACTAAATACACAACGAAATGGCCCATCCTGTGGTTCAATTCACGGGATTTAACATCGGGGCTTATGGCTAAAGTCAGAGCCACCATAAGTTAGTGGTCGAGGAATTGTAATGTTCGTCTTTAAAATGGTGAGTTCGTAGTGGCGTAAAAGAGCTCGAGAACATGGTCTTGGTATGTGCATACCGTGCGGTTTCCCAAATTGTGAACACGACAGTTGAGCACCGCTGTCTTGCCGACGAGGGCCGTGACGTTGGGCGAGGCCGTCGGGTCAAAGTACGGGCCCCGATTAAGTGGCTCGAGCTCCTGCTCCAGATGCTGCTCATCGTCGTCGCTCCTGCATCTGGCCGAACCTGCAACGTACGTAGCAAAGTTAATTTCCTTTACCGGTGGCCAAATTCTCAAACGCACAACCGACCACCCGCGTTCTTGCACTCCCCGCCCCGTGCATTAATCAGTGCATAATTCGCCGCAAGTACAAGTAGCGCTCACGGCGATAGCAACAGTGGGTGGGACGGTGGCGGGGACGGGGACAGCCTCCGCACTATACTATCATAGTTCGCCCGTTAATCGAATCTACCGCTCCACGAACATTCAATCACCTTTGACTGCCCTCAAGCAAATGCGCCAGCGAAATGGAAAAGCACATTGCAGCGCTCCTGCCCTCCCCATATCAACCCGTGTATCTACGCACCGAGCTGACGTGCCACCAACATTTCTATTCAAATCCTCGGATTTAATTGGATAGAGAACACCACGATCGATCAACGCGCGTATCTCTTAGCATTTTTACGTCGCGAAGCACAATGAGCGATGCTCCAACTATCCTTGTTGCTCCCGCACTCTCCTTTCTCCCTATCGGCTATACATAATGCATACTTTAAACGACCTTTGCTTTTAAATATCGGAAGGAACAACGACTCGACTCGATTAGTAGACGCTTATTTTTTTACACTCGTCACTTTTAGTAAAATGGCCAACTATACTTTTATCTTGAAATGTACATAGAAATAAATATAAGTTAAATTGTTAGTTGACATTCTTTTAGCAAAACCTACCACTTTTTTTTAATGATTTTTTCCCGCTAAGGTATCTGTCCATCCATCCATCCTCCAACAGAAATATCACTCGATTAAGAAAAAACATTTGTATATAATTTTATAGAATATTATTTTATTAAAATTTATAACTTAATTTATTATTATATTATTAATTTTACTATTACCTTACTGCCCTTCACTCGTTTCAATTGCAATATAAGATTTGATTGAATCTATTCTGTAATATTAACAGTCCCTATGTATATATATATATATATGTGTGTGTGTGTGTGTGTGTGTGTGTGTGTGTGTGTGTGTGTGTGCGTGCGTGCGTGCGTGCGTGCGTGCGTGCGTGTGTGTACATATAACAATTTGTTCCAAACCATTCAACATTTTCTTTGAATATAGATTAAATAGTTGGTTTAGTTGACGTCGATCTAAATATGATATGTGATAGGGAATATTTATATTGGTAGATAAATTTTATATTTCACTAGGTCGATATAACACTTTCAATATTGTTATTTTTAAATAGAATATGAAAAATCAGAGAATATCATAACATAAACACTCTGCTAAATTGAATGGAAACTTATTCGTGATCTAAAAGGTAGATAAGTAAGAATATACAAAACGATAAAATAATAAACAAAACGTACGATTGTTTAAACAAAAACCTATAAGAATGAGGATAGAGCACTTAAGACGACAGTTCAATTTTTTTAAATTAAACGTCCCACTTGTACAGTAAAATAAAATATCTATTTGAAATTGCACAAATTTAATGTAGATATTCGTTCACAACTGATCTTTTTCGTGCATATATTATAGCTTTCGTCTACATTTCCCGTATATATATATATATATATATATATATATATATATATAATTGAGGCATGACAGTAAGGAGCAAAAGGAGAGAACAAAGTATTATTATTGGAATAACATCTCATGCCGAACGCTCGTCCTTTTCATTATAACTCCTCTTCGTACATCCATCACCGTGTCTACGCAATGTGGCGCTACACACTCAATAGAATACCAAGAAGAGGCAGCAAAATGAGAATAAAGGAGTCGGGACGACGAGGAGAAAAAATAATAGGAGCGATGCAAGCTATCCGCTTTAACGTCAAGAGAATAATAGTGGATGATACACTTTGCGTGAGACTTCTTATCGGACGATTCATTCGTATTGCGCAAACCAGAGAGAAAGGAAGTATAAGGAGAAGCTGAAAAGCATACAGAAAGCAATTTTAACGAGAAGCCGCAGGGCCCACGAGACGCGGATTTCGTGCGGAATCATGGTACCTACAAAGTGTAAGGAGCCAGGCACAACGTGCTCTTCCATTTCTCGAACGTCGTCTACGTGCTCCCGAGGAAGCCCTCGAGCTTAAACCATACTCCCAGGTGGGACCTCCCCAACCCCCGACAATCACATATACACACGCGCGTATCCTGATCGGCCCACACCCCATCCGCCATTCGAGACTCTCTACGTTGAGGGCACATTTGAACAGACGTCGGAGTCCGGTAAACGATAGGATTGACTCACGGACGATCTCAGCGAAGGCCAAACGGCCATTACTCGTATACCATCACCGAAGGGGCATTTCTTTTTCCAGAAGGTATAACTGCCAATATCACGCGAAGCTTTATTTAGCGCGTATAGGACGAAACCATCTTTTATCTTAACGCACGTTATCGCGTGGTTAACCTGAGCTACGATTATCCGGAAACGAAAGTGGACGATCGAACATGCATGATTCAGCAATTGTACGAGCAAAGTTGAATAACGGATGCTTACGCGGGCAGACAGTCGCTTTATGGAGACAAAAGCGCGTTATAACAGTTACGTCGAACCTACGCGATAACCCTAACGAGGACACGGATTGGTAAAGTATGAAGAGTGGCGAATGAAACCGTTGACCTCGGACGCGAGAGTAAAAGGAAAAGAAATTCGAGGGGACTCGAGATTGCACGGGGTTATGAAAAGTCTAGGATAAAGCTCCGAAGGACACCTCAATTGCAACTAAAGAATATCGATATGGCTGAGAGGTATAAGTATCCGTAAATCAACGCGGCAATTGGAAGATCCAGTGGGAGTAATAGACTCACCGATAAAGTAAAAATTCTCCTCGGATACAGGAGTACTTTACATAAAATACGTAAATCCATAGGATGTTAAATTTTATCTTACCACCGACGAGTCTGTGAAATTCCGTTTTATTTAACAAATATTAAGAGGCCATATTAAGAGGTGAAAATATCGCTTATAATCGATCGATAGGATAAAGTCAGCGAGAAAGTTCTATGGATGTATGAACTCATTGACTTTGGTGGACAATGAAACTCTTGGTTATAATGTTTGGAATTATTTTGTTTTCTAATAATGCTACTTCATGTAAACCGTCATGCACGAATGTATAATGCAATATCGGCAACAATATTTAACACGGATGGATGTAATTTTTTTTGTTTTTGTTTTTTTTTAAATCAACAAGTAAAATAGCAAATGACATGTAGAGGGAGAGAGAGATATATAGAGAGGGAGAGATAGAGAGATAGATAGATAGATAGATAGATAGATAGAGAGAGAGAGAGAGAGAGAGAGAGAAAGAGAGAGAGAGAGAGAGAGAGAGAGAGAATCTAGTCTACCTTTTCGCTAGGGGAAAATCTCGGTAATTCTTCGGAGCATTTGCTAGGAGGAGCATATGAAATTAGGAGCGCAAGTAGGGAGAAATGAGTGGGAGAGAAGAAAGAATGAAAAAGCCGAGCCATCGCATAACGAGAGAGCGAATCACTAAAGCCGGAGAAGGTGGAGGAGGAGGTGGATGAGATTGGCGAGGGAGGGGGATGGGAAGGGGGTGAAATGAGCGCATGTTTATACAAAGCATTCTGGGGCTTCGACATATCCGCGATGGTTAATGCATCGAGCAGAACTTTTTTATGGACTAAAATTTCATTGCAAAAGTAATGAATTATTTTAACAATGCGGCAAGAAAAAATGAATAATTCTTTGTTCCCGTGTGAATTTGTTATTTTACACAAGCGCGGATGTAATTACTTGAAAAAGAAAATGCAAGTAAGAAAAAATATTGTACAAAGTGGCTGGGGATTAAATATGTTCGAGGAATAACAATTGTAAATATTGTAGTCACTTAAACCTTAAACTAGTCGACACATTACATATAATCCGTGTTTACAAAGTTATAAGCCCCAATGAATTAACTTAATTGCGTAAACTAATAATCCATATGAGTGCATAGGGCTGTATACGTGTATACGTGCATGTTTATGTCTCTACATGAAAATTAAAAATCAAATTTACATCAAATGCACATTATTTGGCAATTATGGAAAAAATTTAATCAATATACTTAACGGGAGAACTTTTTAACATTTCGAGAAGATACTCGATAAAAACTAGAATTAAATAAGGATCGGAATTATACTTTCAATTCAGATTTATCTTTTTGCCTTAGTTTGTTTTTTTTTTCTTTGTCATACTCGTGATCGACGATTTTGTCAATTTGTCTACACGATGAAACAAATATACAAATTTGTGAGTAATATTACAATAATAATAATAATAATAATAATAAAGTAATAGCACAAACGACTTAGCACATACATTTTCTTTACATAATGAGTAAGTCAATCTCGGATTTACTTTAACATCCTTTTTTTATTTTGTGAACTTTCCGTTCTTCTTTCGTTCTCCTAGTTGCGCGTGTGGAAAACTTTCAGGACAAATAAACAAGATGGACAGTCTTTAAGCCCTAATAAGGAGGAGCATCAACGTGGAGCAGTAAATTCGTGCATTACCTTCCACGCCAAACACTAACCACGAGTAGACGCACGTTTTTTCGTGCACAATAGGGTATTTACGAATAAATCGCTTGTAAAATAAAACCTGGAAAGTGCAAGGAGAGTAGGAGAGTAGGAGAGAGAGAGAGAGAGAGAGTACAAGTTGCCGCAGCCAAAGAAGTAAATCTCCCACTGGAGTATTCTTAAATCAGTCGGGAATCTTCCGGTTCCCTAAGCATGCGATGACTAAGCTTATCACGTACAATGTACAATGCAGAAAATAAAGTTGTATGGGCCACAGCCGCTACAGAGCCACAAAATGCCTTTACTTTCGTTTATTCGTCGCTTCCTCCATCCGACCGAACTGTGCGCGCATGCACCGTTCGCACGGATTACTCCCATGATTTAGGACCAAACGCCATAAGCACGTATACGCGTGTACGCGCGTGTGATAGAGCGAGTGCGAAAACACATGGCGCAATTACGAGGCGCAATCGCATCCAGCA